AACATTCCATTGCAAAAAAAACTAACATATTTTGAAAACCCCCTATTAAGGGAATTCGTTTCAATTTTTGTTCAACCGAAAAATGTTTCACCTAGTGTACTTATAATGTTCCACTATGTATGGATCAAATGTTGCAGTGAACTAAAACATTCTTTCGCTATTTACTGAAACATTGTTTTTATATAAGGTGAAATAACACCCGATTTAAACGAGTGAAACATTTTCGATCTACTTAGTGCAACAATTCCGATATACCTGGTGGAACATCGTGTAACATTTAAAAATAATTCAATAATTAGGTAAAAAACATTTCATCGGAATATATCCATGTGTGGTCTTGTTTTGAAGATTTAATTGCAACGAATTTAATGGTGCAATTGGATCATGATTTGGATAAGTAATTTAAGAGAAAAATCAGTTTAAAGTAAATTTACACATAAATCGGGCGCTGACGTCATGCCGACGTCAGCGCCCGATTTCACCCCTTCCCAATCGGGCGCCCGGCCGGGAGTCGTGTCCAAATTTATTTATAATGGATGGATCGATATATAACTCCTCTGTATAGTATATATATATATAAACGATGATCTCTTCTCATCGATCGAGCTTCCTACTTCAATTCATGCATATCCCTTCTTTCTATAAAGTTAAAGCCAAAAGCTCAACCTCGTGCTTCCACATCATCATCAAATTGTGAATCGTTGAATGAATGCATTACATCGCTTCTTAGACGTTAGATGGAATGCAGCATAGAGCCTAACCTATTAATCACCGGGTGAGTCTCTTCGCCTCCTGAGTGTCAAATGTGGCTTACATGAACACATTGGCCCATCTCCACACTCATCTACTTGTATCCAGCCCGTCAATCCGTATAAAAGAGTTTTATGGCTGAACGCATTTTCAGTTGATATGTGCTACCTAAATTATCTACAAATTTTGGATAGGGCTGCTAAAAAAAGATTTCTTCAAGAAAGATATTTGTTTCTTCTGTTTCTTCTTAAGATTGTACCTCATATGTAACAAATTAATATTAACCAGTCCTGCAGTAACACGCGGGGCATCCTCTAGTATTTATATATATTCATGTGTGTGCATGCATGGCCGCTATTTTTGGTCGATCTGTCTAATCTTGTTGTTGGACCAGAGCAGTGCTAGTTTCCTCTTTTTTTTTTCCTTTTAAGAAAATGGATTCAAACATCCAATCCAAACTAGGGGTGTGGTTAGTTCTCTGGGTCTAAAGTTTTTAAGTATACGGAAACACACTTGAAGTATTAGACGTATACTAATAATAAAACAAATTACAGATTTCGCCTGTAAACTGAGAGACGGATTTATTAAGCCTAATTAATCCGTCATTAGCAAATGTTTACTGTAGCATCATATTGTCAAATCATGGCGTAATTAGGATCAAAAGATTCGTCTCGCAATTTACATACAAACTGTGTAATTGGTTTTATTTTTTCCCCAAATTTTTTGATCTAAACAAGGCCTACATGTACACGGTCAATGACTAGAACCCAAGTCACAGGCTTTACTAGTTTATTATTTGTCTGCTCTCTCCATTTTAAATTACTTACTTTCTCCGTTTCAGGATATAAGATGTTTTGATTTTGGTCAAAGTCAGACTACTTTAGATTTGATTAAGTTTATATACAAATATAATAATACCAAATTAGTTTCATTAAATTAATAATTGAATATATTTTCATAATAAATTTGTCTTGGATTGAAAATATTATTTTTTTTCTACAAACTTAGTCAAACTTGAAGCAGTTTGACTTTGACCAAAGTCAAAATATCTTATAACCTGAAACGGAGGGAGTAGTACACTACTACACAAAGCTTTTTTGCATACGGGCGAAGGGCATCTTTGCATGCGGTTGCCCCAACCGCATGTGCCAGAAGATCTGCAAAAATCAAGCTTTTTGCATGTGGATTTTCGCATGCGGTCGCTTATACCGGCCGCATGCGAAAATAAAATCAGCAAAAAAAAATAAAAATAAAAAAATCCCAAACCCTAGCCCATCGCCGACACTGGATCCGTCGTCCCCGCCGCCCGCCATCGTCACCGCCACCGGATCGGCCGCCCCAGCCGCCCTTGGCACCGGATCCGCATGGGGCGGGGCCGCCGGAGGCGGCAGAGCCACACCCGCCGCTGCGGCGGTGAGGAGGGGGAAGGGCAGTGAGGAAGCGGCGGTGAGGAGGAGATGGCGGGATCCGCGCGGGGCGGCAGAGCCTCCCCCGCCGCCGCGGCATTGAGGTGCCGCCCCCCGAGGTCGTCGTCGCCGCGGGGGAGGGCGCCGCCGCTGGATCCGCGTTGGAGGAGGGCTGGGGAGTCGCCAGCAACGACGGAAGGAGGTAGAGGCAGCAGATCCATGCGCACCACCCGCCGGCACCGGATCGAGCTCGCCCTCCGGCCATCAAGTCCGCGGCCGCTCCCGCCCGCCGGCACCACCGCCGCGCGCCGCGCCGCTCTCTGCCGCCGCCACGCCCTCCTCGCGGTCCTCCAAGGCACCGCTCTTGGTGGCTGAGAGAGTTAGAGAGTTAGATTGGGAGAAATGAGATAATAAGTAAGAGAGAGAAGATTGAGAGGGGAGGAAGAGAAGGTAAGGGTTAGGTGTGAAAATTTTTGAAGTGGTGGAGAGGGAAAGTAGAGGGACCATTTTTACATGCGGGCCACTTAAGTGCTCGCATGCAAAAATTGATTTTTTGCATGTGGTGTTTTAAATTTCAAATCGATTTTTATGGCACTAGATTAACTTATATGAAAAAGTTGCCAAAAACAAATTTATAGAACTCATCAAAATCTACCAATTTTATTTTGGTCGTTTTTCTATATGATTTTGTTTGTACAGCTTGAATTTGAATTTTAAAATATGACAATTTCAAACAACACTTTAAAATACTAAATGATTTCAACTGAAAAAGTTATCAATAACAAAGTGGTATAACTTATCAAGATCTATAACTTTTGTATTGGTCATTTTTCTATATGACTTTGTTTAAACAATTTGAATTTGAATTTCAAATTATGACAACTTCAAACAATATTTTTAAATACTAAATAATTTCAACTGAAAAAGTCATCAATAACAAAGTGGTATAAATTATCAAGATCTACAACTTCTATTTTGGTCATTTCTTCATCCGACAAAGTAATTTGTAAGATTGTTTACAAAATGTATATATCTCTTATATAGTTTTGTAAACTATAAGAGTGATATATAAATTTTGTGAAAATGTTACTATCACTTTGTCGGATGAAGAAATGACCAAAATAGAAGTTATAGATCTTGATGAGTTATACAACTTCGTTGTTAATGACTTTTTCAACTGAAATCAATTACTGCTTCAAAATATTATTTGAAGTTTTGAAATTCAAATTTTTAATTGATAAAACAAAGTCACAAGAAAAAGTGGCCAAAATAATAGCAGTAAGAACACAATAACATGATAGAGCATGATTTTAGAATCATTTAGGAAAAAGAATCGTCCAATTTGAAGTTCATATAAGTGATATACACTAGTTTCAAATTTTTCAAATTTTATTTTCTCATACGACTCCTTAAAACGCTCCTATGGAAAAATCGATTTTTCCATGCGGGAGCTTAAGTGAGCCGCATGCAAAAATAAGGCCATTTTTGTATGCGGACGTCTTAAGTGGCCCGTATGGGAAAATCGATTTTTCCATACGGGCGTCCTAAAGAGCCGTATGCGAAAATGCCGCTCGATTTTTGCAGACGCCACTAGTTATGGTTCGTTTGTAAAAATGATGGGGTCTCGTACAGAAAAATCACTTTTGTAGTAGTGGTAGAAAAGATAGACATATGCATAGTTAACTTAGGACAGATAGAAAAGGTACATATATATAACTTAGGACAAATATAGAATGAGAATGGAGAGAGTGGCAGGTATTACAATTTAGGTGTTTAACACAGTTCTAACTCAAGTTTATTTTGGAGTTGGGTTTTTTCTAGCTTGGGAAATTGTTGAAATTTCTTTTGTTAAAGCTGTTACTACTCCATTAATTAATTTGGCCCACTCACTAAGGCACACACGTATTTTAATATTCAACTCTTTGAATATTTAATCAATAAATAGTTTATTATAAATTAAATTTTATTTGATGAAAATAATATCATTGGATTATCATTTAAATTTACTTTCATATGACTATGGTTTTGTTGCTAGAAACATTATAATATATGACAAATTTAAAGTCCAAAAGTAACTTTTGAAGACTATGCCAAGTTTGATCGTACCTTAATAAGTGAGACGGATGGAGTACTATGCTAAGAATATTAGGGTATGATATTTGCTAATATTTTTTATCAAAATAAAAAGATTATGCCACTTTAATTTAATCTACAAACTCTGTTTTTTCTCTAAAGAATTTAAGCATTGGAGCCATGTCAAACAGGGTTGATTTGAAAATCTTTTATGCTGCACACATGTGGGAAAATATGCAGTGTAAACCACATATGTAGTGAAAACCTGGAAACTACCGTTGGATCGAGAAATTGACGTCCGAGATTCGTCCACGTCACCATGAGTTAAAATTTAACTCACGGATTCACTCATGCGTTAAAATTTTACTGGGAGTTAAATTTTAACTTATGGTGATGTGGATGAATCTCGGACGTCAATTACTCGATCCAACAGTAGTTTCCAAGTTTTCACTACATATGTGGTTTGGACTGTATATTTTCCCCGCATATGGGATGACAAATCTTGGAAATGTCATGCTTTTGTTTAGCTTTTGCAATAACAGCATACGGAGTATCTTGGATGAGGAGCACGCTGAATCCATTGGTTCAATTGACTCCAGGTCTTGAATCTAGCAAAACCACAAAAGATGTTCCGAGAATTCCATCAAGCTCGATTGGTCGGCCTTCTTGGAACAAGGCATACAGTTGTCAGGAAGATTAAGAAGAAAAACAAAATCTCTTCTGAGGTGAAAATACTCTCTGAAAGAGCATAATATTGTAATCAGTGGCACATCTCTTTTTTCTCAGGCAGAAAAGCTTTTCATTATATGAATATGCAGTAGCTTACAAAAATAATACATCGATCAAGCACATGTAATGTATATATGTACAGTACCTATATGATGACTAACTTTGGTCGGCCTTCTACATTTCCTGTGTGTAAAAATGGCCATGTATATATAAAAAGAAAACCATAAGAGATAGATATAGAAAAGAATGAAGAACTACAGCTATATATACTTTGTAGGTAATCTATATTACTCCAGAGATTTTTAAGGATGAAAGTACAACAAAGACAACCCAAAGGATCATGAAGTACACTGATGTTGCCCAAGCCCACATCCTAGGGCCACCAAGCTCGGCGCCAAGTATGACGCGACGAAGAACCAAAACCGTGATGCAACCGAATGACGTCGCGAAGAAGACCAGAAGGGAGAAGCTGAGGCCAGCAGCATTGTCTATGTACAGGGGCTTCTGGTAGACAAAATAGTTGTACATTGTGTCCACCAACCATGGAACACCAATGCCGACATATATGTTCACCGAATTGCTGTGGAAATAAGATATACCGTTTATCCCGCCTCGATAAGATAAATTTACAAAAGGTTGAAGGTAGGCATGAACAACTAATTGGAGAGGAGATGTGCAGAAATGTACCTGCAAGTGATGTTGGTGATTGCGGAGTCGGCGGTGATTTGACGCTCAGCCGCTATCTTGCTTGCAACTAGATCAGGCCATGATGTTCCAGCAGCCAGTGCTGTGAATGCTATAACATATGGACTTACTCCTACACAGGATAGTAGATTTTGTATCAGCAAGCAAGCAGCTACACCCTTGACAGATGATAAATTGAACTTGTACAGGAGCATGTTCCAACCTGTGACACAGCTTATCTGATCTGTAATCTTAGTAACCCCATAAGCAATACCACTTATGAAGATTAGTGAGCAAATAAAAGCGATCCAGCCATGCGCAATTTCATAAGGGGGAACGAAAGCAAATAGCATTTTCCAAGGTGCAATGATTAAATTCCATGAGATTCCGATGACTCTCAAGCAGGTAGAATCCATCTTTCTTGACACTGAACTCTCCAACTGCTCACATAATAACAAAATCACTTATAACCAATGGGAATGCTGTAGCAATTTTTGTTACTTTCAGTTCAAATCAATGTACTTCAAAGACTTAAAAACGAGTGCGACTTAGGTTTCAATTCAATGTTAAAATCTGCTAAGAAGGATTCATCAACTGAAGGCTGTACACTGTTAGGCTTGTGGTAAACACTCTTAAACAAAGATAAAAGAATATGCTTTACTATTCTATTTTGCCTTTGGTGATATATTAGAAATGGTAAACCAATAACACAAGAATACAGCACAAGAGCGGCATAAAATTTGATTTGGTGTGATGATATTCAACAGATAAAGTTCTCCTGACTGTATAAGTTATCCAAGTCATACACCCCTGTAGTTCCACTGAATGCGTAACTAGAAATAAGTTTTGCAGTTGTCTTATAAAGTCTAGAACATCCTTCTCAATCCACCATAACTCTCATTAAAAAAATATCTTGTCATTGTTATGTCCTTGTTGGCTTGCAAAATTAAGTTTAGAAAGTACCCCCTCACAAAAGTACCCTTGCCAAACTACATTGATCTAATAACTGAGCATTAATTCTAATTTAAACAGGAAATGGCATTGGCAAGGTATAATATATAGAGTGATAGTGAATTAAATTACCGTTGCAGCATCAACAAATTGTTGCCACCAAATAGAAAACCAGTGAGTATCCTCCCATTTGTTCTTTAATGTAAGACCTGTTGAAGATTCTTCCACATCCTCTTCTGAAACATGGTGATACCCTGAAAGGCAATAAGAAACTACTTTCAGAATAATTCGAACCCCGAAGAATTGTTACACGAAGTAAAGAAAATAGTGAGTGAAAAAAAACCAGAAATTGATTACCTTCATTACTGTAAGAATGCGCTGAGAATATATCCACAATATCCTCATTCTGGCCAGGGAGTATATCCCCAATCCCATCATAGTTATCATCATAATCAACTGAAGCATCTTCCGCCGGAACCCAATCTTCAGGTCTCTCACCTCTTGCCCTGTTTTCAGCAAATAAAACTAGAAGCATCAGGAAAGTGCATCCTTAATTTGTACATGGCCACAGGAAAGATTAGATAAAAGGAACGATTATTTAAGGGATTAGGACCATACAAAGGGATTGACACATATGGCCAGCGCTTATCCTGCGCATATGCATGAAGCAGAAGCAGTCCATATTGCAGTACTGTCAGCAAGGCCTCCCAGAGGGTGATCACTCTAGGTGTCCACACCTGTATACAGCGAAAAGTACTAATATGACCTAATGCTGGATTTAGTGCTTATAATTAGATAGCAGGATGAGAATGTATGGCTTACCTCTAATATAATATACAGCCAAATGTATGCCCAGAATGACCAGAACAGCTCAACTAACCAAACACCGAGATCAGATATCTTTTTCTTAGAGCCTGCCCTTGGCATAACCACACAAACAGCATGTATGGGGAACAGATCAAATGCAGCAGAACCCACAAGGGTACCTGGACCTAAACCTGCAAATCACAAGAAACCGAATTAGATACAATTGCGGATGCTTTGGAACAAACATTTGCATGAGGTGATCAAAGTATACCTCCTGCTGTCAGCTGACCCAGATTTCGGATTGCGTCAATCGTTGCTAGTGAAATTTGAGGGAAGCTAGTACCAAATGCGAGGAGAGCAACGTCCGCTATAGTGTAGTTCCACACCTTCTCATGCTTGACAATAGTAGCATTTGTGTGTGGGTCTACTGTGACAACCTCCCGGGAGTGTCTCATGATGCTCTCCATCGATTTGAAGAACCGGCCAGTGATCGCGGATAGACCAATAAAACAGTACGCGAGGACAGCGGTATAAATAAACGCACGGACACCAATTGGAAGCAGTGTTTCTCCATTGAACAACAGGTAAGTATCACAGGAAGGAACAGTATCTGCCATGTTAATGTTGGCCATCAGATCAGAGGAGTGCTAGTAGCCTAGTATAAGACGAGAACTGCAGTATTCCCAGTTCCTGTTACAACACAAATGCCAGTTTCCATCAGAAATACTAACATCAAGAAAATGTTAGCTTATGAACAGGAGAAAATAATGGCTACTACAGTACAATATCAACCTACCTAGTTCAGCAACTAATAAATTGTCAAGCTTAAAAGAACTTTTTTGGCTTTTTGATGAAAAGGTGTTCACCACTTCACCACCAAACCAAACAGGAGTAGTCTGGAAGGCTAGCAAACAGTGCAAAGGTAAAAGACCTCGTGAAGAAAAACTAAATTATTCCAATGATCTCGTTGCCGAACGATTCATGGAGAGAAAAATTGGTAACAGGGGAATAAATTTAGATATATATATCAGGTGATAAAAAATCCTGAATTACAACAGCAAATGAGAGCAATAAAAAAAAACGAGGATATCACAAGGAACTGATTCGAACAACTGAAGCACTGGATCGAGTAACCACAAAATTGCTAGATGCCACCTCATCGATGGATGTGTTAAACAACACTAATCCTAATAAGTTGACCAAAATTTTTTTTAAAAAAAACACTCCTTTTTGCCACTCCCTAAAAATCTCTTATCTTTTTTTTTATCAATACCCCTACAGAGATCCGGAAAGGTTGAATGCGACGAACTTGGGCATTTGTTTAAGATCAAAGGGGATCCCTCCCAAACTTCTTGGAGAGAGGAAACAAAGGAGGGATTTTTCCCCCCTTCCCCAAGAGAGTTGGATGTTGAAACTTGGAAGCCAAGATGAATGAACAAAACCAAGTAGTGAGGAGTGGCAGATTACCGGGGTGGAGGGAGCAGATGGCGGCGGCGGATCGGAGCAAAGTTCTTCTTGCTCCCCTTTTTATCTGCGGTTCTTGGGGTTCTTGCTTTTGGTGTGGATGAAGGAAGCAGAAGCCCACCTTTGCTACTGCATTTATTTATTTATTAAAAGCCAGATGGTTCCTTTTCTGTGAGCCCATGCTTCTCAGTCAGAGGTGGCCAAACGGGCCGGGCCAAACGGGCGGCCCGGGGCACGGCCGAACCTGTAGCAGGCACGGCCCGGCACGGCCTGCTACAGTAACGGGCCGTGCCGGCACGGCACGAGTAGCCGTGCCGTGCTTGGGCCGCTGGCCGAGCCCGCGGGCCGGCACGGCACGGCACGGCTACTGTAGCGGCACGGCACGGCACGGCCCGCGGCACGGCACGGCCCGTTTCGCCGGCGGCCCGTCAGGCCGAAAGCGGGCCAGCGGCGCACGCACGTGGCAGGGCGGCGGTCGAATGGGAAGGCGCCACGTGGCACTAACGGCTATTTGACCGTTCAAATTTGAAAATAACCGTTGGGAGACTAAAAAATTCATAAAAAATTCCAAAAAATCTCAAATTTCGCCCTATAAATAGGGCATGAACCCCAGCCATTTCTCCTCATCCCACACTCCTCATCTTGTGCTCTCAAGTGTTTTAAGTGCTCTCTTTGTTCTCAAGTGTGCATTTTTTTTGATTTTGACAAAATTTGCTCAAATTTTGTCAAAAATCAAAATTAGTTTCGTAGTTCAACAGTTTGATCGCAGAGGTTTGAAGAGCTCGCGGTTGGAAAGATGTAAGTAATATTCAAATTTGTGTATTATTTGTATTGTGTTTGTGAATTCAATAAATATTCGAAAATTTGTTTATGTCGGTTTAAATTTTCAGAATGGATCCGAACTTTCCATACCAGTCGCCGTCGTTCACCTTGGGTGATTTCGACCCCAACTACATGTCGGGGTTTGACGATGCCTCCGGATCGGCTCCAACTCCACCATCTGTGGAGGAGGTACCGGTTCATACGGCTGTCGTTGAGGAGGTACCGGTTCAGGCGGCGACAGCTTCGGAAGGATTTTCCGGAACCGCGAGCGGAAGTGTTTCGACACACACCGGCTCGAAGAGATCGAGAACCTCCGGTGTGTGGCAAAACTTCGACGAGATAAAGGAAACATGCCCCGACGGAAGGGAGGTATCGAAAGCCCGTTGTAGAATATGTAGGCAAATTTTATCTGCTCGTTCTTCTGGTGGTACAGGTCACCTCAAGCGCCATGCGGAGTCGTGTGCCAAGAAGCAAGGAATACAACTCCGGCAGCAGCAACTTATGGTAAACCCAGACGTTACGGTACGCAGTTGGGAGTACGATCCCATGGTTGCTCGGGAATCTCTTGTCCGGTTAATCGCCAGGCAAGATTTACCCCTGAACTTTGGGGAGTCCCCTGCTTTTGAACATTACATTCAGCAATCTCATAACCCTAGGTTTAAAGCTGTGAGTAGGCAAACATCAACTAGAGATTTAGAGAATGTTTATCACAAGGAAGCAACTGCACTTAAGGAACTGTTTAGTACATGTACTTTCTCTGTTAGTGTTACTTCAGATATATGGAGTAGTAGAGCTAGAGAGGATTATCTTAGCGTAGTTGTTCATTTTGTTGATGATGATTGGCAATTACAAAAGAGAGTTTTAGGGCTTAGGTTAATAGATGTCTCACATACAGGAGAAAACATAGCTGAAAGAATTAGGGAAGTAATTAATGAATTTAATCTTGCTGATAAAATATTTGCTGTCACCCTAGATAATGCATCTGCTAATTCTAGGGCTATTGAAATATTGCAACCTTTATTTTGTGTGTATGCTCAATCTTTTCTACTCCATCAGCGTTGTGCATGTCATATAATTAATTTGATTGTTAAGACTGGCATGAAGAGGGTAGGTGACCACATCGATGCTGTTCGTCAAGCAATCGCGTGGTTAACTGCTTCTAACCCGCGGATTGCTGCATGGAAGAGGTTTTGCAATGCGGCCGGTGTGAAAGCTCGTAAGTTTGCCACCGATGCAGAGCATCGGTGGAATGCAACGTATTTAATGTTAAAAGTTGTTTTACCTTATAGTAGTTTACTTTCTGATTTTGTTCAGTCACGTGGTGGCCCAAGAAACAGTGACGGGTCTTCAGTACTGAACGAGCATGTTTGGGCAATTGTCCAAAAATTTCACCAATTTCTAGAAACTTTTTATGATTGTACTCTAACTTTGTCACAAGTTTATTATCCAACTGCTAATATAATTTTGCACAACCTTCTTGAAATTGCTACTTTATTTAAAGAATACGAAAATGATGACGTTCTAACTGAACCTGTCTTTCACATGAAACAAAAATATTTGAAATATTGGAAAAATATACCTATGTTGTATGCTTTTGCTTTTGTTTTAGATCCTAGGTGTAAATTAAGGGGATTGTCTGCTATTTTATCACTTGTTGGAGATACTATAGGTGTAGATTATAGTTCTTTTTATACTGAGGTTAGACGTAAATTATATGAGGTTTTTGGAAGATATGAAGTAAAGTTTCAGGAAGTTCGCCAGCAGAGACCCCCTCCTATCCCCACTACAGGTAAGAAGAAGATACAGTGGGGTAGGATTTGGGGTGGATCGTCTTCAATCCAAGGTGGTGGCAGTTCGTCGGCTACAAGTGGAGACGCCTCTTCGCATGTTGTGGCCGAAGAGTTGTCCGGTTATTTGGACAGCAACGCCATCCACCACGAAGCACAAGATTTCAACGTCCTCGGGTGGTGGAATGACCACAAGATAACATATCCTGTGCTTTCAAAACTAGCACGGGATGTGTTGACGGTGCCCGTGTCGACGGTGTCCTCCGAATCGGCCTTCAGTCTATGCGGCCGAATCATCGAAGACCGGAGGACGACTCTGCGCAGCGACCACGTCGAAATGCTACTAAGCGTTAAAGACTGGGAGCTTGCTCGACAACATGCCCAATACACTGCGGACAACCAAGAATTGGCCGCCCAGTTCGAGCAACTCTACCTGGATCCAGACCAACCCCAGTAGAATTTTGTTAGAAGTAGTTCTGACCTTTGAGCTGTACTCTTTTCTTTGTCATGGTTTTCTCATTTTCCCCTATGAGTTTTTACATGACAAAGTTTTTAACGAGGCAGCATGTATCATTGTATCCTGTAATGATATAAACATCAATAAAGGTCATTACTATTTTTAACAAATTCTTTTGCAATATTTTCGCAAGTGTGGATTTATCTTTAAATTATTTCAAAATAATGAATCACAATCTATATTTTTAAATTTTTCAACACAACAAAAAAATACCATTTTTTCTTTTTTTTAACATTAGCAAATCATTACTTTTTTTAAAAAACTTTTATTTCCATTTTTTAAATACCATTTTTTCATTTTTTAACATGAGTAAATCATTACTTTTTTTTAAACATTTTATTTCCATTTTTAATTTTTTTTCCTTATACATTTCCTTTGCTTTTTTTTTTTTAAAAAACACTGTGCACTGGCCGCCGTGCCCCGAACGGCCCGTGGGCCGCCGGCGTGCCTTCACGGGCTGCCGTGCCCCGAACGGCCCGTGGGCCGTAGGCGTGCCGTGCCGGCACGGGCACGGCCCGGCCATCCACGGGCCGTGCTTGGGCCGGCGGCTCGGCACGTGGGCCGGCACGGCACGGCCCGTTTCATCAGCCGTGCCTAACGGGCCGTGCCGAAACGGGCCGTGCCGGACCCGTGCCCGTGCCGGGCCGGGCCGTGCCGCCCGTTTGGACACCTATATTCTCAGTTCTCACACTATCCATCATCCCTCTTTCCTTTTCATGCTTTTTCTTGCTCTGTTCCTTCCAGTGATCCAGTTTGGCCAACATGCCAAAATAATAATAATAATAATAATAATAATAATAATAATAATAATAATAATAAAGGCAATGAAAATATTTTTTTTCGGGGAAGAGCAAGAATATACTACCTCCGTCCCAAAATAATTGCATTTCTAGGATTCAAAATTCGTCCCAAAATAATTGTAATTCTAGAGTACTAATTGCCCCATCAATCATATTTCATTCAAATTTCTCCCTATTTTACCCTCAACCATCTTCCCACTCTCACATAAACACCATTTAATGAGAGACACCATAGTCTTTCTTCTCAAACCTTAATATATGCTAAACAACATAGAATTGCAATTATTTTGAGACGGAGGTAGTATTACTCAACCAACAAATCCTTACAGAGATACTGAGAAATTAAACTGCAAGAGTTACCAAGCATGAAAAGGAAAATATGAATTGTGCGAAAAAAAATTAATGGAAAATCAGTGGCGAAAATTTAAAGATTGAAAAAAAAAATGTTTTTCTTACCCTCCCACCTAAAATATATGGCGTGTGTATTGGTAACACAGTCTAACGTTATACCGTTGGGTTTTAGGGTAAATTGGAACCATACCATTATAATTTTTGTAAAGTTTAAGATATGCCATCTGTCGGTGACATGGGGCCGGGGGTATCATGACTAGAGGCTTGGGTAGCCGCGGTCACCCACGTGGCCTGACCCCCTCGGGGGGGGGGGGGGGGGGTCGGGCCCGAGGGTGACGTGGCCACCCCTCCCTCTGTCTCCCAGAGGGGTCGGGCCGCTCCCGTGTCGGCCCCGAGGGATCGGGCGCCCCCGTTTCGGCCCCGAGGGCTGGGGCGCCCCGACCCCCTGTGGTTTTGGCGCCACGTGTGTGGGTTAGGTAAGCACAGCGGGACTCACCTAACCGCATTTATAGCGGGTTGGACGAGCGCGCCACGCCGCATTTAATGCGGCGCAGCGCACGCTTATCCGGTCCGTGACCGGTCGCGGTGTGTGACCGGTCACAGACCGGTCAGATCGCGGGTTAGGTGGCAACAGGCGGCCTGTCACACGCCTCGCCCCGTCCCGTCGGAATGATGAGAGCTTCCTGGCTCTCGTCCCTAGCCGGAGCCGACGTGCTAACTCCTGGAGTTGGTATGTCAGTCCCGGTCAGATCCATTCCAGGCTTCAGCACAAGCATGGCAAGGAAGTCGCTGGCCATTGAATGAAGGTTGAAATGGGCGTCCACCGGGAAAGCTGGCGAGCGGGGCAGGAGGCGTGTGCTCTGCTTGTCAGAGGTCACTTCCGGCTGTAGACTAGCCCTCATTGTAAAAAACATGTTTCCTTTCTTAGGCAGCTGGAGGCCCATGTGGTGACCCCTGACCAGATAAAAAGGAGGCCCAGGCCTAGGAGAGAGAGGGGAGGAGGGGGAGAAAAAAGAGGAAGGGGGGCTAGAGCCTGAACTCTCTCTCGCTCTCCGGCTCTCTGTATTCCTTCACACACAGATCCACCAGAACACAGGAGTAGGGTGTTACGCTTCTCAGCGGCCCGCACCTGTCTACGTCGCCCGTGTCTTGTGCACTTCCTCTCTCGCTGACGTTCCTCAGATCGAGGGCGAAGAACCTCACTTAGCGCCCCCGGCCGAACCGGCAAAGGGGGGCCTGCGCGGTCTCCCGGTGAGGAGCCCCACGCTCCGTCACCATCGGTATCTCAATGACATATAGGACCCACATGAGTCAATGACATGTGGTTCAAGATGGCATATCTCAAATTTTGCAAAATTATAATGGCATGGTTTCAATTTTCCCTTGATTTTTTTACTCTCATATATCCTCAGCAGTTATGGAATTAATGTATATATACTATTATTTGTTTAGTTATTAGAAGAAGGTAAAATTTTTGACTTCTTTAAAATTATGTGTGCCTTATGTTTCCGATGGAGTAGTACATAAGCAAACTCAATGATAATAACAGTGAAACTAGCTCACCCGAGTTTATGCGGCTGCTTGTATTTGTGGCTATTTTTTCAGTGGTAAACGACTTACCCGTCGACAGTGAGATGTTGATTTCATCAATCTTAAAATATGTCAGTCCAGTCTTTTAGAACTGCTTATAAGGGTAGTGTGTACTTTTATATGGGTGAGTGTCTGCGTGTTGTGATTGCTTAAGTTTGTATTGTATGTTGTTAAAAATATTTTTTTTTCTAAAAGAATAGCTAACTCTCCTAGAGGTGTGCGTGCTTTAAAAAGAAATAAAGAAAGAAAAAGTTAAGTCGATGTTTGAAATCATATCATGTGATTTGTGAAGGGGAGGCATCATTATCAGACACATGACCCACAATTAGTGTCATGTACAACAACTAATCTGTCCATGCATGGTCACCTCCAACTTTCTCTTGGCTCCAAACTGTCCAGCACGCCTCTAATTTTCTACAGCAACAACGTGGAAGAACCAGAACGGCACACACCAAATGATCACTTACCCTGCTTAATTTCGTTTTAGAGAAATTTTGTCGAGATGGAGAATTGAAAGCTATAGCCAACGAAATTTTGCTCAAGTTCAGGCCTTCCACACACACACACATCACAAAATAATTCATTCATGTGAAGGGAAGAGCCGTCGTGTGTTTCGTGTTCATGTGCGAAATGTAAATTGCTGTGTCAAATCAAAACCCGTAGTTTTCTCCAGTACTATTGCAAATTTGCAATTGACGATGACACCTACTCCTTGACATGTTTGATGTCGCATCATCGCGTGGCCGTCGTGCCATTTTGTTTTATCTTTATTTTTCTAAATTTAGTGAGTGACCTGTGAAGAAGCAACAGGTCAACACTCCATGTTAGTACTATTCCATATTTTTATTTAGTACTGCTCCATATTTTTAGGAGATCTTTCCTTATTACAAGAACAGTAAAGACAGTGACAGCCACAATTATTGAGTGTCATTTTGGTTTGGCTGCAATTGACTACTACTACCTCCGTCCCATATTATTTGTCTTTTTGAGTTTTTGTTTGTCAATATTTGATCATTCGTCTTATTTAAAGAATTTTGGAATTATTATTCATTTTGTTTGTCAATTGCTTTATTATCAAAAGTCCTTTACATATGACTTATCTTTTTTTATATTTGCACTAATTTTTCAAATAAAATGAATGGTCAAACGTTGCAAATAAAAAGTCAAAAACGTCACCTATTATGGGACGGAGGGAGTACTTCCTCCATTTCACAATGTAAGACTTTCTAGCATTGTCCATATTCATTTAGATGTTAATGAATCTATATATATGCATGTGTTTAGATTCATTAACATCTATATGTATGTGGGTAATGCTAGAAATTTTTACATTGTGAAACGGAGGGAGTAGTATAAGCCTTAAAGTGTTTATTGGCCTCTTAATTTATAGGTAAACTTTTATACTGTATGTGTGTTGCTAACGATTTAGTATAAGCTAATGCTAAAAACAAACTATGAATAAAATGAGTCAAAATCAACTGTAAAGTTAAAGATTCAAAATTTAAATTTTGACTAACGGATAAGCTGAAGAGCAAATAATTGACCAAATTGGACGTGTTGAGAGTGAAAGGGGAGTTAGAGATAATAAGATGGAAATAAAATTAAATGATGGATTGTTGGAGAAAAAAGTATTCTAGATATACACTGTTAATAACTTAAGATAAAATTTAACTGGAATATTAGAAGGGCACTTATTAAAGGATGGATGGAATAGTATATGGTAGGGCCGAAAGCAGTGATCATTTTCTTTAAAATAATGTTGCGTTCGCATGGTGAGACTAAATATACAGTGCCTGCTTAGATCAATTTGCTGCGGCAATTTTTTTTAAAAAGTTTTAGTGACAAAAAATTTGGCATTATAATTTTATAAGTTGGTGTTTAGATGCATGGTAAAGTTTTACCAAATTGTTGCTGCCTCTCTTATACACGGGGCCTGATACTTTTTTCTTGCCTAAATTTGCTACTATAGACTCCTAAATGACAAATGCCAACTTGTCTACTTTTTGTTACTAGTGTTTAGATCCATTTTATCAAAAAAATGGTCTAAAACGGTACAACTTTTATCATTTTAGAGTATCTAAACAAGCCCATAATGATGATGATTATTATTAAGGGGTGCTTGAGGTGTCTAGGTGGATTTAACTAATGAGGTAACATCATAAAATTTCTCATTGCCGTATCACCAAATCACTGTTGCATGCATATAGCAGGAGTACACATCACCATCACCATCATTTGAAAGAGAGCATATAAGAGGTTGGCCATTAGCAGTGTTTGGTGGTGGGCATTATTCCTCTTTTCATTTTCTTGCATCATTGTCATTGGTCCCAAGAATGCGGGATTATTTCCACGTGATATATTTATACCTTTTCCTTGGATTTGAACTTGTTCTCCCTGGAATGGGAGTTTAATCTTGCAATTCATTTTCTTTTCATTCAAAAATGGAATCTATGACATGTTTGGTTTGCTGTTCAACTAACCCTACCAAAATTTAACACTTTTGGTTTGCATTTGGTTTGCAAATTCTGATAGTCTTGAATGCATTTGGTTTGAAACCTTACCAAATTTATTTTGGTATAGCTTTTAAGAACGCAATTTTCTGAAACCACTTAAATTTGATTGGGTAGCGGTAGTAACAATGGGGCTGACAGGATACGCTGGCCGCTGTTGTCTACAGTCGTTTCCAATGCTATCGCAGGCTCGCATCCATAGGCAGCAAACACAACCGAACACGTCTAATATGTTTGGTAATGTCAAATTTTGATAGGGCTCAAAAGTGAGAACAAAACAAGCATGCATTTCTACTACTTTCTTCGTTTTATATAAAAGACCCTTTGATCTTTTCCTAATCAAACTTTTAACCCAAATATATAGTAACATTTTTTTACCCAAAACAAACACACGACCATAATATATTAAAAGTTAGGTTTAACAAAACTAATCTGGTATTATAGATATTATTATTAATTTTTCTATAAACTTGATGAAACCTAAATAGGTTTGACTTAAAAAACAAAACAGTAATATATGAAGATGGACTTGTTATTCGAGGGGGAAATGATAGTATGGGCATTTACTTTTATCAAATGGGCATGCCAAATCAGCCCAGTTCAGCCTATCCTGAAAGGCCCAGTAAAAATGCAGGCCCAATTACTCCTCAATGCCCAATTCTCTTCTTTACAATTATAAAAATTAGATGTTTTGCCGTTATTTATTAATTTATTCATTAGTTTTAAAATACTGTAGAAGTCGTATAAGAAATCTCTTTAGAAAAGCTCTTATGCTAACTTAAAATGATCGGACTCCTAACTGCGACTTCTGATTTTCTTAAAAGAATATACATCCACGTGAATTCTCACAGCTAATTTCACTTTTAACTAAACCGCATAACAATAATAAGATTAAACTAGACTTCACATGTTGCAACAGACGTGCATTTTTTTTTCTATTTTTTTATTTTAAAATCATCTGAAAAGAAAAGAAAAAAAAAGGAAATTTACTAGTACTCGTATCGTCTTCCTCCTCTCTAAAACCCACGAACCCCTCGTCTCTCTCACTCCCCTCCCCAACCAGATCAAACGCTAGGGTTTCCTCGACTTCGACTTCGTCTTCCTCCTCGAGCAGAGCAGCAGCAGAGATGAAGCTCGCGGGGCTCAAGTCGGTGGACGGGGCCCACGAGGAGTCCATCTGGGCGGCGGCGTGGGTGCCCGCGGCGGACCACCGCCCCGCGGCGCTGCTCCTGACGGGCGCCCTCGACGAGACCGTCCGCCTCTGGGCCCCCGACGACCTCGCCTCCGCCGCCGCCTCCCCCTCGCGGGGCCACGCGCTCGGGGTGGTGTCGCTCGCCGCCCACCCCGCGGGCGCCGTCGCCGCCGCCGTCTCCCTCGACAGCTACGTCCGCGTCTTCGATGTGGACTCGGGCTCCTCCGTCGCCACGCTCGAGGCCCCTCCCTCCGAGGTCTGGGGCATCCAGTTCCACCCCAAGGTAGGTGATGATCCTACCCCCCACCCCACCATCTTTGCTTTGCGATTCACATTCTGAGGTTGCTTGACTAGATTCGTTGTGTGGGGGAGATGTGAGAGGCGTGGGATTTCAGTGTGATAATGTGGTAATTACAGTTGATTCGAGCATCATTTCCATCTGTTGTATGGGTTTGTATAGTTTGGAATATGTCTAGTGTGGTTTTTTTTACCTAGTGTAATGTGTGATCTTTTCTCAGATGTTTTAGTAGATTTTAGTATCATTTTAACTGAAACTTCATGACAAAAGTGTGGCCTTGATTGGCACTTTGTGGTAGTTTTATTAGATTTAAAGAAAATAAAGGAATCTAAAAGAATGTTTTCGCAAAGTTAAGGAATATATGCAAAGTGATCATTTCAATTTTCGAGCAGTTCAAATACGCAATTGATGACTGAGGTTTGGTTGTTAAATTCGGTGGGCAAGTCTGACAGTATATTCAGTTGTTACTGCTTATTATCATTGACCACAGTACCTCACTTTTGTGGAATAGCGCTCCTTCATCTCAACACTGCAACAAATTTAGTAATCGCTTTGAAGAGGATCATCATGTGAAGTATGGTGTTTCATGCATTGCTGGCAAAGTGTGTGCAACATTTACTGCATAGTCGCTTAGACTCTGAGAATAATGTTGAATCCTACCTTTTCGATTCTCTTTCAGACTCAGTAAATTAAGCGACAATTAATTGTGTATCCAAACTCATTGGACATATTTTTATCATAGTTACAGGTTTTGCATAGGTCCTGTTTTCATGCTTCCTTTGTATTTTAAAAATTGATTTGTATTCATGTTTTTCACAATATGCCAGATAATTATCTATTTGGGTAACCCACCTTTCTGTGCAAGATGACTAAACATCACTACGCCCATTGCAATCACTGCCAGAAATGGTTTGTCAAAGTAGCGTATCTGTGGTCAATTCATTTTCATATTGCCTTGTTGTGATTCATCTTGCTAATTTCCAGAACATACTATTTTTCTTAAATGATATTTTGGTATGTACTAAACCTTGCTAGAATTGACCTATGGCCTTAAGACATTATTTATTTTCTTCCATAAACGTGTTGATACAATTATGTCTAATTCAATGAGAATCGGAGATGCTTGTTCAAGCTTGTCTTCTCACTTGCAGTTGAGACGTGTTACGCATTCAGCGTTTTCCACTGTGCTATCTCTATATACCTTTGTTGACAGCATATACTAATTTTTCTAAAACCTGCAGTACCAGGAATTAACCTCCTTTTATGGTAGCCTCACTTTACTGAAGGTCTTCACTTGTTCTAGCTACTGACATTATTACCTCACCCACAAATGCTTTCCTTCACAGGGTAGTGCTCTGGCTGCAGCTGGTGGTGGCAGTGGATCAGTGAAGCTCTGGGACACAGAGAAGTGGAAGCCAATTACCAGCCTTGCTGTTCCGCGTCCAGAGGGAGCTCGCCCTGATAAAACAGGAAGCGGCAAGTTTGTCCTTTCAGTTGCATGGAGTCCTGATGGCAAGCTCTTAGCTTGTGGTTCCATGGATGGCACCATCGCTGTGTATGACGCAGTTCGCATGAAGTTCCTCCACCACCTTGAGGGCCATCACATGCCAGTGAGATCAATGGTGTTCTCTCCAGTGGACCCGCACGTGCTCTTCACTGCCTCCGACGATTGCCACATCCACATATACGACGCCAAGGAGAAGAGCCTCATTGGGGCCATGTCAGGGCATGCGAGCTGGGTGCTGAGCATCGACGTGAGCCCAGACGGCATGGCGGTAGCGACAGGCTCCAGTGACCGCACGGTCCGGCTTTGGGACATCAACACGAGGGCGTCGGTGCAGACGATGAGCAACCACAATGATCAGGTCTGGGCTGTCGCCTTCCGACCACCGGGTGGGACAGGAGTCCGCGCAGGCCGGCTTGCCAGCGTGTCAGATGACAAGAGCATCACCCTGTACGATTACTCATAGTTTTAACACTGCAACCTGCAACTTCATTGTAGTCAGCTGTTTCCAACTTGCATTGGAAAAAAAAACCTGTTGTACAATCCTAATTAAGCTCATGAGTTGCAAGTAGAGTGCGTTTATTTCCAGTATTGGCCTCAGAGTTGCAAACTCGCTCCTTATTGTTCTTTTGCAAGTGATCTCAAGTTGTCAGTTTGAAGTAAAAATATCTTCAATTCTAGCCCGATTAAGTGCTTTTGTCACTGGAATTTATAATCTTTTTTTACAGTCCTCATAAGCCATAATGTGAATATGTGTCTTGCCTAACTCTGAGACGCCTCAGTGTTTATATCTGAAGGTAAACATAGAAATGCGCTATAGAAATGCTTCAGTTTTTCAAAGTGAAGCATCACACGACACGATTCAATCTTGTTCCTGGAAGATGTTGCAATTTTGCTAACTAGTAATTTGCCCGTGGTAACGCTACGGTAGCATTCAGTAATACAAATTAAACAATCAAAAGAATACAATATATGTTTTCTCAAACATACATAATAGAAGGTTTAATATTAAACACGAGTTATTATATGGTTAATTACAAAGCCATTCTAGTAAAAATAACATCGCAACTGTTTCATTGTTTCGAAACATTATGAGATTTATTTATCCCTCGTCTAGATCCATTGACATGCATACGAATTTGGATATATATAAATCGTCTCTTAGCGGGGATACAAAGCCCTTCTTAAAAAAGATAAATGTATTCAAAACCCAAAACGTCTTATAGTGGGATACAAAGGAAGTAATTCCTAATGTACGCCTTCAGAATCAAAGCATAGACATAAAAAATCAAATCATCCATCAACATCTAATGTTTAATCTATATCTCATTTTAGATAGTTCATTATCTACTATCGTTTTTCTTATAAACCATAAAAAAATAGCTATTCCTATACATATGTCACCAAATAGAATTTTCCTTCTATTTTATCTTGTTCACATGGCCCAAATATTATTAGGAGGAGCAACACCATTATTCATTTTGCAAATCAACGATCAGCAGTTAATTACCTGGAATATTATCCTAATCAACACCATTAAGCTTATGAGGTATGCACCACTATTTCTGGAATACTATCATAATCAATTTGCACACTTCTTAAATGAAGTTGATTGTTGAATCGATAATCATGAGGCAAACAATTCCCAGAAAATCTGTCCACTCAGGACCTTGGCTCTGAAAAAAACCAGTGAATGAACGGATATTGAAGAAAACCATTATGGGTTTCTTTGGATGAATTTAGCATTGTTGAACAATCATCGATGTTTACATCCTATATTCCAAAGAACACAAATCAGATCACTTACACCACCATTTGCTAAGACCAATGCCATCACTGTTGCTGCCCAAATCACTTAGGACAAAGGATTCCACATAAAGCTGAGGAACTTGATGCTCTTGTTCTATTCCAAAAGGAAGTAAAAAATATGAGGATTTCAGAACAGGAATGTAGGTAAACAATGATCAGAAAAAGGCAGATAAACTTCTCCAATCTGCTTGCACCGGACAGCTGCAAGCGTTCTACTGCATCTTCTGATGAAAGCCCCACGTGAAATGTATTCAGCTCCTCAAAAAATGTCTACAAGGAGCAGATTCACCTGTTATTATATATCCTTACAAAGCACAGCATTAAGACTATATGTTTCAGAACCCGTCAAAGTCTACGATATGCCAAATTATACAAAAGTCTACACCTTGCGTATGTACTGGTGTCTGGTCACCTGAAATATAGATATTACCTGAAGATTATTGCCAGTTGAAGACCATGCAAAAGTCTGAGATGCAATTAAAAAGTTTAACCTGAGATAGAAAGTAGAAAATTGTTAGGACACCGCATCATTCTGAATTTTAAGTCGACCAAACATATATATGTGACAGGAAAAATTGCAACCAGTTGCTATAGAAAAATATAAATTTCGCTTAAAATATCTTAAAACTAATCAAATCCAAACAAAGGTACAGTTGTTCCAACCTATCTTTTCGAATTCTCAAAGACAAGATCACAAAACACATGAGGTGCTTCAATCTGAATGTTTTGGTTCAAGATACCTTTCGGCGGCGGAGGAACGGCGGCGTGGCTCCGTATAGGCGGCGGTTGAGGCGGAGGCCGAGGAGGAGGTCGCCAAAGCAGTTTGTCGGAGGAGACCGGCGATGCGTGACGATTTGAGTGGCGGAGGGACGGCGGTGATGCCGGTTGAGACAGTCCGAGGAGACTTCAGCGGCCGAGGGACAACGACGGGAGACCGGATCGGCGATGTCGGTTGAGGCGGCGGCGGCAGGCAGTCGTCGGAGAGGCGGCGGAGAAAAAAATTCCAAATCCAGAAGAGAAGCTATGGTTAACGCAAGAAAATTCAAGAAAAAAATGGGTGGGAGATAGAGGGATGATGGTCATTTCATATCAGCTTGTACATTCAAACTAATTTGATCCTGTTCACTTATATAATCATATCAAGATATTTTTATGAAATGAACATCAAACTATATGCTTGAGAAGATTTTTCTAACTTTCAGGAAGTCCGTGGTCGCACTTATATTATGATTTTCTATAGACTTTGTGCAAATTCTCGAAAGGAACTATAGTATAGTAACATAGGCAGTGGTTCGCACTTATGAAAAAAATCTGCTTAAAATATTCTATTGTGTGGTCTAGATTATGCAGATAATAGTCCCCTGTCCATGCTCTAAGAGGAAAGATCTAGCAAGTATGATGGTGCCTCCCGTTCGACAGGTTTCTGACAAACAATGCACATATACATTACAAGAGAATTGTCTGTGACGTCGCGGATCAAAATGGGGACGTGGTCAACCTAACAAATTGGGTATGTCTGAAATGAACCCACCCTAACAGAAGAAAAGAAAGAAAAACAACTGTCCGGTATTCCTCTGTCTGCAAGGTAGGGAAAAATCATTACCAACGGAAATCATTTGTATAATCACCCCCAATGGATCAGCTATCAATGTAGACCAAAAGATTCAGCAATATGAAAGTTGAATTAGGGAAACCATTATTGATCAACCTATAACAGGAAAAGATAATCTGCAGCATATCATTTTATACCCACAGCTTTTTGACATAAGCATTTTAACAAACACAAATCGTGCACACACCTGATGGAGACAGGGAAGCAGCAGTCCTCCACACTGCCACAGGAGTAGGCGTCGACGGCGGTGGCGTTGGTGGCGGGGGATACGGCGTCGGCGTCGGCGTCGGGGTCGGGGAGGAGTCACTGCGAGGGGTGGCGGCATCGGTAGTAGGTGGGCGGAAGGAGGAAAGGCGGGGGGACAGCGTCAGCACTGGGAGGAGGAGGAGAGGTGTGGAGATCCTGAGCGGCAGGGGCGGCGGGGGTTAGGGTTGGGAATCGCGAGGGAATCGACGGGGGCAGCTACCTGAAAGAGGGAGGGCGTAGCCGCAATGGAGGCAAGGTGGAGAGCGATGGGCGGCGGTGACGATGGTGGGCGCCGGCGCGGCGATGTGGGAGAGGCGCAACGATGGAGGGGAGGCGCGGCGATTTTTCGCGGTACGGAGGGGCGCGCGGCGCGATGGTGGTGCGGACTGCGGAGGAGGAGCACATCGATTGCCGCCGGGCGGTGAGGGGGCGAGGACGCGAGGGGGATGCGCACGGCGGCGAGGGGGCGAGAGAGCACGAGGAGAGGAGGTGCGGCGCTGGGCGGTGGGATGCGGCGTGATCTCGGGCGTGAGGAGATGGGTGCGGGGAGGGAAGGAGGGGGAGACGTGGGGTAATGTGAGGCGTTGGATTGGATGATTTTGGACCATTGGATGTGTCACATGATGAACGAGTAAAAGCATTTGTTGAACTAATATATGTCCAGCCACGGATAATTCAACAAAAAATACTACACGTGCAAAAATAAAATGTTACTAGCTGTTTGCAAATGTTGATATTGCATGGAATCTTATCACAATTCACACGTATATTCAAATGGTTCTTATCATGGTTTGTTTATCATTTTATTATAGTAATAATCCTTCCTTCTATGATATTTGTGAGTTCTCTACTTACACAATGGCATGCCTATTTGTTTATCAGTCTACTTAGTTATGGATACATGATAATACTAGAAAATTGGCGTGCTTGGTAATTTAACCTATGATAATACTATTTAAATCTTATTTACAATGCCAGATTTTCTTAAATAGCGATTGGTTCAATATTCATAAATGTCGATAAACATTGTTCAATTTTTAGTTCTATACTTGTAGACTATTGAGAAAAACAGTACCAAAACATGGTAGTAATGCGTGCTACTAACAAACCGGTGAACATTTTGTATTATAAGGATATAAAAGCGTATTTTATAAATATTCTATCTTACTTTTGTAAATTTAAGGGTATTGAATAAAAGCTTTTATAATTTGTAAAATCGTGAGAAATATTTTCTTGTTATGTTTATAGTTGCTATTTTATTGTTTCGATTTTTTTTATAGACATGGGATATCCGCATGGTTAAGTTATCTATTTTGAATTTTAACATAGTCACTTAGAAACATTTTTCACTGACTTTTATTTAAAAATAGTAAATTTTGTGAATTAGAAAAAAAAATCATTTTTCATTTTTCATTCTTAATTGTTTTTAATACCTGCTACTCTTTTGTACATTAAATTTCCTTTAAAACAATAAAATTTGTGGATTAGCCAAAAAATATATATATTTTCATTTTCATTTTTATTTTTAATACTTGCTACTCTTTTTATACAATAAATTTTATTCTTTATATTACTTAAATATATGGTTTCCATTTTATGACGTACGGTGTATTAGAATATAAAATGACATTAATCTTGAGTTCTGATCATTAATATCTTTCGTAGTATACTATATCAGTAATATCTGAAAAAATAATACGAATCCAACTCTTCTTGTATGTTTAAGATTGCCACATAGATTTTGCACTGCATTCCAACTCCTCATATCTGCAAGCGTGCAGCCAGTTTAGTTCACAGTTAGTCCCTCCGTTTCACAATGTAAATCATTTTAGCATTTCCCACATTCATATTGATGTTAATGAATCTAGATATACATCAATATAAATGTGAGAAATACTAAAATAACTTATGTTGTGAAACAGAGGAAGTAAAATACATCCATATACTCCATCTAATTAATGTATTCACTGTCAACCATCGGTTAATTAGCGTGGCTAATAGTACGCGAGAGATCCAGAAGGACATGACTACTCAGAACACATCCATGTGTCGTTAAGTTATATGGCCATTTGGACCAATCAAATGCTGGCTGAACGGCTAGCTTGAGACCAGTAGATTATGTTGGGTATATGAAACATGACTTTGCTACGAAGGGACCGGATAGGGCTGTTGATGAATTTTTTGGGCCACCTTGGTTGCACAACATCCTATGTTTGTGTTAATTTTAGGTGACTGATTTTATTGTGCGTTCACTTTGCATAACAACATGACCAGATACTATGAATCATTGATGAAAATGTGCCTGCTGAGCATAACTCTACTTTTTGAAGACTCATCATTTAGACATCTATCATTCAATGACTCGCTTTGTTTCGCGTGCTGGTAAGACCATGTTTAGTTCACACCAAACTTCCCCTAAACTTTTAACTTTCCATCACATTACATCACATCCAAAACTTTCCTACTTACATAAACTCCTAACTTTTTTTCCAAACTACCAACTTTCTCTAAACTTCTCCCCAATTTCAAAAACTAAACACAGCCTAAGTAGCTCGGCCTAAATGCTCCATAGAATTCAGCCTTAAGGAGCGTTTGGACCAAGCTACTCAGCAAAAAGAGCTGATGAGGGTTCTGTTGCATAAAAGCATCTATCATTGCTGTAGCAGAGCAATGTTGCATATTAGCATAACACAATGCCCACAGAAATTAGCCACAAAATTAGCATGTTTTAGAACCGCAAGAGTTATTGATAAACATTATCTAAAATTCAAAGAATAGAACAGGGGAACACCTTCTGGCAGGGGATTATGGGAGTAAGGGAGCAATTTTATAGATTCTGTAAAAAGAAGGTGGGGGATGGAAAGAATACCATGTTTTGGGTAGATAATTGGATTGGAGGAAAGCCACTCGCAGAGAAGTTCCCCAGACTCTACAATATTTCCTTGTCAAAACAAGTAACTGAGACAAAAGTTCTAAATGCTGGCTGGGATGCTTTGAAGTTTAGGAGAAGCCTGGTGGGGGAGAAAATGATAGACTGGCAAAACTTGCAACATTTATGTCAACCAATTGTGTTGACTGCTAAAAGTGATCAGAGTTGTTTGGAAACTTAAAAAAAAAATGGGAACTTCACTGTTAAAGTCCTTGTAAGCTTTTATACAATGCAGAACACAGCACACAGGGTTCCGTTCTTCTCGTCGTCCTGCACGTCGTACTGACGCCATTGTCGACAAGCTCGAGACGAGCTTAGCATGGGGAGGCGGCTCAGGGAAGGCTGGGATTTCAGCTAATATATAGCCTGCAAACATAATATACGAGTTTCGCGTTTTATACTTTTGTTGCAATCTGGACAAGTTTCCAGGAGTTCGTTCAAATGTTGTGTAAATTCACAAACATGCTGTCCTTTTTGTAGTGACTTTTGCAGCGTCGTTGCCCACGTTTTATGCAAGAAAAAAAAAAAAGAGGAAAAACGATCTCCCAATTATGATGTACTGGGACCGTTGTGAAAGTACTACTTGTAGAAACACTTAACCGTTAACAGCAAAACAGGAGTAGCACCAAAGAAGGATAAGGATAGATACGCAATTCAATACAAAGGTTGCTTCTAAAGGTTTTTTTTTTTTTGGGCATCAGTCTGACAGAACACACCAAAGGTATGTTTTAAGTGTAAGCAACATAGCTAGCACAACAATTTCATCATTATCTTTCTCCAGCCATCACAAAGCAAATTAATATCGTTCCAAACATTTAAGGAGCTCATGAATCCAATAATCCGGAGGTTTTTTTAAAAGGACTCATCTCAACATCCATAACAAGCAAACGATAGTTGTTTCCGACACCAACATTAGACCATATCGAGTCAACTGACAACCATAGACTAGACCAAAAATACGGCGGACTGCATAGATAAAACATCAGTGTCGAGCAGAAGGAACCGCTCAGCACTTGACCTCCTTCAGCCCATGAGAGAAGTAAAGGAAGGTTGGGTCGGTGGCTCCGTCCTTGTAGTAGGCAAACACCAAGCCGCCATCATCATGCATGCTCTCACCAACAAAGCTGAAACAGATCATAAGAGACAGCATAAGAAGCAGGTTTGAATACAAGTCTTATTGCTTCAAGAATTTAATGTGATAGAACATAGCAAATCATTTAAACTGGAATTTGTAGGCACTAATGGTGAGACATGTTCATGGCATCACATATGTTACTATTTCCTGGACCTGTGGCAAGCAATTAGTGAACTTACAACTGAAGGTCCTTGAGCTTTCCAAGCAAGTACTTGGTGGCACCCTCAATGTTCTTCTTGAATTCCTCTTGCTTTTCCGCATCCAGCTTGGCGGAGAGGTTCTTGATGTAGCGCTTCATGAAGGTCACAAACTGCTTCTTGTCAAAAGGAGGTTGCTCCTGCCAAACACACATGGAATTTAAGCACAAAAATAAAGTGCAGATAGTATCATATACAAGAGCCAAGGTAATGGAAGTGAGAGCAACCTGAAGACGGAAGGTGTCCACAATGTCGACCACCTTCACAGCTTGGTCATCAACACCCTCATCATCACCACCACCCTCAGCAGATGGGTTGGCACCAATGTCCACATCAATAGCTCCTTGAACGACCCACTGCAAGGATACAACATAATATAAGTAACCAAACAGAATCAAATGACATCTTCACAAGGTAATAGACAAAATCGTGGTTATCTCAAAAGATATCCACAGCTGCATTCTGTTGCAATAATTCATATATGCAGTTGATCAAAACATCCATTGGTATTGAAATTTGAAAGGAAAGCAAACATCAAATTAATACTCAAAACGAAAGCAAGATTGTTTCACTGGTTAGGAACATATTATAATGATCTCTGATTTGAAAAACATGTTTCATTGATACAACTAAATAAATCGATACATTGGAAATATCAATCAACCTAGAATCCTCAACGCAAATCTTTCTAATCCTCATGCATTGCAACAATTAATAAGGTCAAAAGCCACGTAGCACAGCATCCACGAGTATGCATGATATTTAAAGCCTCAGAAGCATAGACAAGCACTTCATCTTTTTTTACGAAATGCCCAAAAGGCTCATAATTAAGCTAACTCTGCACAAATATGTTGTGCCAAGCAAGCAGTGAATAATTTAACATGCAATGACATATCCACTAAAGATCGAAGTGTTCACCAAACGGAATGATCGAATTTCACATAACCATGTTACACTGAATCTAATCGAGGACGGCAACAGATCAATCAAAAGCTAGCAAAAGCATACAGCTGGTGAATCCGCCTACTAAACAGAAAGCGACATACCTTGCCATCGACTTCCCAGAGGATGCCGTTCTCGATCTCTCTGTAGGGGAACGAATCCGACAGGAGCTCGTCACCTGCAACACATCCAAATCAAACAAATCAGATTTCAGTCAAACCAATCGCATCAGCAAACACACAACACATAATCCCCCACGAGTTCAAACTCGATCCCCACACACAAGCAGATCTGACGATTCGATAAAAAAAAAACAATCAGAAACCACAACCTCCTACCAGTAATAATTCTCGGTTAGATCATCCGATTCAAACACGGAAAACGCCCAGATCTAACCGCGCCACCTCCAATTCCCAAAATCCCCACATCCCCGACTCCAAAAACAACAAAATTACCCCCGAAAAAAACCAGAGAAAATTATGATCAATTCACGCACCGGTAAGCAGATCCTGGTAGACCAACATGGTGCCGCCTCTTCAAATCTCTCCCCCCGAATTAAAAAAAAAATTCGGCAGCGGAAACCCTAGAGCTCTCTCGGCGAGGGGGGAGTAGCGGCGCGGACGGACGGAGAGAGAGGGTTTGAGGTGGAGGCGACCAGCCGGTATTTATAAGCGGGCCGAAATATCTGGGCCGCGATTCTGGCCGTCCGATCTGGCTGATGCCGTGGGAATATTACCGATGGACGGCCCAGATCTCCGATTTGTGCCGGTTTGGGCTTTTGAGTGGGGGAGAAGCCGGGAGGAGTACGTGGTTGATTGCCTGCCGTCCGATCGGGATATTGGGGACGGATATTCGGAGGCGGACGGCTCAGATGCGTTTGTGGCGGCCGAAGGGAGGTCAGCGGGGGCGGCACGGAATCGTTTGGACTTGTCCGCTTTCGCCATCATTCAGTGTTAAAGGATCATGAATCTCTACCTCTACTACTTAAAAAAGAGGTGCTTCCATCGTTCATCAAAAAAACCGAACGAAAAAAATCAGGTTTGTCCGATAAAAAACCGGGCGAAAAAGAAGTGCGGAAAAAGAAAAGAAAAACCAAAACTGTCCGATCTAGAAAATCCGGGTCCTATTCGGTTAGCATCACCAGGAGAACACGTGCATATATCTCTATCTCTGCTACTTAAAAAGTTAAGAAAAATTTCCAAAAAAAAGTGCGAAAAATATTTTCTGTCCGATTCCCAGAAAAAAAAAGGTGCGAAAAACGGTTTCCGACTTCAAAAAAGAGTGCCAAAAAAAAGATTTTTGTACGAAAAAACAAGCGACAAAAGAAAGTGCGAAAAATTTCTGTCCGATTAAAAAAAGGCAAAAAAAGGGTTTCTGTCTTCCGTAAAAAAGGAAAAAATAACGCGAAAAATTATTTCTGTCCGATTAAAAAAATCCGTCGTCTGTGCCAAAAAAAACCAAGATCCAAAAAAAGTGCAAAAAAAATTCTGGTCGATTAAAAAGGAGTGCGAAAAAAGAGTTTCCGTCTTATGTAAAAAAGGAAAAAATCTCTACCACTTACAAAATTACGAGTGTTTCCGTCATCCGTCCGTGAAAAAATAGGCGACAAAAGAATCGGGCAAAAAAATGGAATCCGATTATATGCGACATGGTAAAAAGAAAGGGCGAAAAAAAACCGAATCTGTCCGATTAAAAACAGTCCATAATGTTCATAAAAAAATCATCCAGGGTCCGCATCAAATAACACAAGGATTCCGTGAGGTGTTTCGTCCGTCTTCACCTATTTTTGTCCACAACATCATAAGTCCGAACACACAACAAATCATCCAGAGTCCGCAGCAAATAACACACAAAGTTTTAATCAAGTTTGATCCCAAATACAAGAATAGAAGAACAGCAAACGGAGATTAAAAAAAACAAATTGACCAAAAATCGAGCGGAGTTTGCCGCAGCCGCCACCGTCTCCCATGGCCAGATCTGACGAGGAGGGGGCATGGAGTGGCCGCCAGTCGTGGCTTGCCGAGCTACGCCGCCGCCGCTCGCCACCGCTGTCGTTTCTGCCGAGGGAGGGAGGCGAGGGTGGAAGGAGCCGCCGCCACTGCCGCCGAATCCGTTCTCCGCCACCGAATCCAGCCGCGGCCGCCACCGCCGCCCGATCTGTGGCGGAAGGAAGGCGAGAGGGGGCGGAGGAAGCCACCGCCACCGACTCCTCCACCCGCCTGATCTGGCGCGGGAAGAAGGCGAGAAGGGGCGGAGGGCCGCCGACTCTGTGCCGAGAGGGAGAGCGCCGCCGGTGGAGCTGGTGGAGGATGGGTGAGGGAGTGGCCGAGGGGAAGCGGCGCTGCCGGTGGATCCCCTCCCCGTTGCCGTGGAGTAATGGGGAGGGAGCGGGCGAGGGGAATCGACAGTGTCCCGTTGCCGTGAGGAAGGGGAAGGGAGTGGCCGAGGGGAACCGGCAAGGTCCCCTCCCCGTCACCGCACCGGCGAGATAGGAGGAAGAGGGTAGGGATGGCAATGGATCGGGTCGGGCACGGGTAGAGCAAAACCATGCCCGACCCGATGCCCGACATTGCCCGCCCAAACCCTACCTACTAGAGTTAGCGGGCAAAACTCCGTGCCCGTACCCATGCCCAGCGGGCGCGGGTATGTCCGGCAGGTACCCAATGGATCTCACATGAATAATAACTTAAAAGATATGTAATTTAACAAAGAGAAATAAAATCAATAATTTACCAAATTATCGGTTATCAACGATAATTTGAATTACATCACAACTTAGTATCGGTTAGCATCACAAATGAACCGAGAGAAATGGTATAAGAATTAAGAAATGAGTCAAAATTATCTAATACATATGAATCGGGTCGGGCATGGGTTACCCATGGGTAAAAAATGAAACCCGCCTATTACCCATAACGTCTTCGGGTCTCGGGCGGGCGTACCCATGGGTAAAAAGTCACACCCACGCCCGTGCCCATCGGGTCGGGTATCCATGGATACCCGGACCCATGGGTAAAATTGCCATCCCTAGAAGAGGGGGAGATGGAGCGGCGACGCCGGTGAGAGGGAGGGGGAGCGGTGACGCCGGTGGGGGAGGGGAGGGGAAATGATTTTAGGGTTAGGGTTTGAGCTGCTGAGTTTTTATATAGATCGGGATCTATCAGGACCGTCCATCAGATTGGACGGCTACGGTTTCTACCGTGTCGGGCCGAGCGCCACTCCCGGGCCGCCCACACTATTAGGCCGCGTGTACGCTCCGTACGGAATAAATTCGCTTTAGCCTCCTTTATTTGTCCCCTCAAACTCCTAAAACCAGTGCAAATCTTTAATTTTTAGTTCACCCGTCGCAACGCATGGGCATATTTGCTAGTCTTATCTAAATGGGGAGTACAAATTGAATTCTTTTGCTGTTGAACAGATCAATTCGATGGTTGATAACTTATCAATGACAATTATGTGTGAAGTTTGTGCTACTTTTCAAAATCATATGCTTCTTTTGCTGTAAACAGCTCAGTTCGATGCATGATTGATAACTTATAAACTGACCATATGTATTTCATCAGTTGAAATTTGTGCTAGTTTTCAAAATTATGCTGGACCCAGGGTTGAGTCTTGAAAGATGCATATTGTCCACAAAGTAACATGTTTTCAGTATTTTGAAGATTTGATCCACACAACCTCAGATTCAGAGAAATTGTTCTCTAATCAGCTATTGCTAAAATATTTGTAGATCCTACTTTACTGACAGGGAAGAGCCGAAAGGGAGATGCTAAAGTTTGAGACAATGCAAAGTGGGATTCCATGCTCCCTCATGCCCAGAGAATAGGGACGGATAATCCTGACCTCCCAAATCCCAATGCAAGAAAAGAATGGTTTTCACGGTAAAGTGAGCATATTTTTCAGGGCAAAGATCAGTAAAGTGAGCATTTTGGAATAAAGGTGTCAAAGCAACTTGCATGGCTCCTGTCCTTTTGTCATTCAGTTGTAAGCATGGTACTAGTTAATTTGTAGAGGCTTGATCAATTCATCTTCAGAAATGTTCTTGTTCGACATAAGCTTGATTAAGACCATCTCAGCTGTAATCATTTAGGTTCAAATCAGTTCTGAAATACTACTAAGCTGCAGATATTACAGACAATTTGCAGTTTTTGATATGTACACAGTACTTGATGCTTCATACTAGTTCTAATAGGGCGCATCAAGTCAGCTCTATGATTGCTTTGTCTAGTGCCGTCTTCAGAATCAGGAAGATTATTTTGTTACAAGAAAAAAAAAAGAAGCAATAACGTTTGCCATATTCAGATGAAAGCCTGAAACATCATCTGAATTTGTGACTGGATGAAAGCTCAACAGGCCCATGGTTAGCTGAGCTAACTGAACCTGGACAACACTTGTATAGTAAATCCCTTCAGAATGAGAGACTGCTCTGTGCTTCGCTAAGACGGCACAAAGTCACTTCAAGCTGCTATGCCACTTCTCTCTCATTCTTGCATGAAAAAGTTACACGCACTACTTCTCAGTCTGATACAGTTACAGAGCTTCCTTTATCTTCTCTGAAGACTGTACCTGTACCTTTGTCACCTTTGCCTCTCATTAGATTGTTAGCACCATCAGTATACATTCAGTTTCGTAAAAACTTTCGGAAATATGGACAACTGTTTTCAGTAAGTACCAGTGGAGAAGTATGGATATCTACCAAACAGTCCCATGTGACAGAGAGCTGACTAAGGGCATGGCCAACGCAAGGGGTACCTCAAGTGCCATCTAGGATGGGGCAGCAACACCCCCAAAAAGCTAATTTCCCACCATGTAAGTTGCTTCAGGTGGTAGTCTCGTATTTTTATTTCAGTCCCGGATGTTTTTCATTTTAGTCCTCACAATTTTCCAATTTATATAGAAGTTCAAATTTTACACTAAACACCCCAAAATCCAGAAATTAATATAAAATCTCTTCTCCCTCATTTCCCCACCGACACCCCGATCCCCTCCCTATGCCGTCCCACTTCACCAGCCGAGCTCCGCCGAGCTCATCTGCCCTCTTCCCTCTCTCCAGCTCGAGCTCTCTTCCCTGGAGGCATCGCCGCCTCTCCCCTCCCTGGTGGCGGTGGATGGAGGCGCAGGAGGTGGGGATCGATGCGGCGGCGACGGATCGAGGCAACGGTGGCGTGGAACGACGCGGGGGCACGCCTCGCCGCCATACCCCTGTCTCCTCGGCGGCGCGTGGATCGGGGTGGAGGGGATGGAGATCGAGGCGGCGTGGGTGGAGGATCGAGGCGGCGGTGGCAGATCGAGGCGGAGGTGGCGGCGGCGGATTTGCCGGTCGGGATGGTGGAATAGCCGGCATCGGCGCAGAATGAGGCGTCGGTGGCTCTTCTTCTCCCCCACTGACTAGCCTCGAGCTCGCCGGATCCGCACGGCAGCGACGACCTTGACCTTGACCATGGTGGCAATGCGCGCGGGAGCTCGAGTTGGTGGCAAGCTAGAGCAATGGCATGGGGCAACACAACTACCCAACGCGCATCCTCATCGATTCCTCCGGACGCCAGAGCGGTGTCTCCGACAAGGTGCGCGGACCTCCTGCAGCATTCACACACCCTGTAGGAATGCGGCTCCTTCCGACGTGGCGCGATTATTCCCCTCGGAAAGGGTGAGACCACGC